GCATGCACCATTATTATTACCTTACTTTTATTATTACCAATCACTGTTATTATTACCATGCACCATTATTATTACCTTACTTTTATTATTACCAATCACTGTTATTATTACCATGCACCATTATTATTATGCACCATTATAGCCACAGGCACTTGGAACGTCTCAATAAAAAAAATTAATGGTAAATAAACACGAAATGTACCAAAGTCTTAATGTTTCTCTACTCTATTTCGCCTATAATCACCTGCAAATGCCGGTCAAATGCTCATCTGCAACACACAAGTACACCGCACGCCCTCCCTGCGGCGCACAAACAACACGAATAAGAGAGCAGGTAGGAAAGCGTGATCGCAAAATTCGCTCGACGCTCGCTTCATTTCACACGATAACAGAACGAAAACACATCCAACAGCTCCCATCTTGGTATCTATGTGTACATAAATGTCACTTGTTCAAATTATACCTCTTGCCTTTGTTCTTACCTACTCCCGCCGGAGACATCTCGTGAAATCATGCAGGAAATGTTCTCTCCGTGAAAATGTAAAGAGGACGAGATTTCTGTTTATACACGAGTAATGGGGCGCATTGCATTCCGGGATGAGCTGCTGCCGGCTTTCGAGCTCCGTTTCGAGGCCCACCAAGCCAAGCACAATGCGCGCGGGCATGACGTCACACACACACGACTACAGCGATCGATCGAAAGTAGCGCCGTTAGGGATTTTCGAATGATACGTCCTTTACATTTTCACGGAAAGAACATTTCCTGCAGGATTTCACGAGATATCTCTGGCGGGAGTAGGTAAGAACGAAGGCAAGAGTTATAATTTGAACAAGTGAACATTTATGTACCTACACATAGATACCAAGATGAGAGCTGTTGGATGTGCTTTCGTTCTGTGATTGTGTGAAATGAAGCGAGCGTCGAGCGAATTTTGCGATCACGCTTTCCTACCTGCTCTCTTATTCATGTTGTTTGTGCGCCGCAGGGCGGGCGTGCGGTGTACTTGTGTGTTGCAGATGAGCATTTGACCGGCATTTACAGGTAATTATAGGCGAAATAGAGTAGACAAACATTAAGACTTTGGTACATTTCGTGTTTATTTACCATTAATTTTTTTATTGAGACGTTCCAAGTGCCTGTGGCTGTGGAGTACCGGGTACTGTACTGACTGTCATACCTCCGTCCGATTTTGAATTTGTTGAATTTCCAGGGCATTTTTGACAATCGAGTTTTGTAATATCATAATAAGTACTATCTTTACAATTCTTAGGAACGACATATGCAAAATCGTTATTTGCTGAGACGTAGAGAATTTTCAGAACGATAATAACGTACATAAACACAACTAATAACAATTTTCCCGCCATCTTTAAACAACGCAGCTTTGGCAGCCTACCACAGCACATGTGTCTCGCAGTATCCTATAGTATAATGGTATAACAAAGGGTATAATCATGGGTATAATCATAGAGTTATATATTAGACCCCATGAGTATATTTATACAACTCTATGGGTATAATACACCCAGAGTATATAAATATATTTATATGCTCTAATACACCATGTCCATAGGAATACACTTTATTAAATCTTTGCATGTAATTCAAATACAAGTACATGTACTGAGAACAGTCTTTTTCATGGAGAAAAAACCTTATTTAAATGCAATAGTGTTGATCAATTAAAATGATAAAAAAATTTTAGTGATACAGTACAAAAGTACACACATCAGTACCATAAATTCTAACATATACGTAGTACACAACTACATTTTTTGTTATTTATAATGCACGTTTTGATGTAGCTCTAGTACTATAGCCCGCGTACAGTTGCCGCAGGCCACTGTACGCGGGCTATAGTTACTAGAGCTAGTTTTGATGAATCTATTTTAAAATTGATTCATGTTTACAAATGTAAACAAATGTTTAAATCTGAAATTTTGCAGCCAAATTAGATTTGTTCCCTCTCTCTGTCGGCCCTAAACATAGACGTATTATAAAGTTTCACTATTAGCATCATACCTATGATTAGCATAAACAAATTAATAATAATAATATTAAAATATAGACAGGGTATCGACCTATAGCAAATGTAGCACGGAAGAAATCTCTGCCCGTAGGTCCGTTTACGGTCCGATACTATTCGATACTACTCGCAAAGCGGCCATTTGCATTGTTGTAGATATTTATCGAAGAGGTACGGCGATATCAAGGTGAAAACGATTTGAAAACAGGTGTTATTCGCTGCTACCCGCATATGAGCATTTACCCGATATATTTCATATATATCAGAGCCATTTATGGTAAGAATTAAAATGGTTTGATATTGTTCTTTTATAAGTAAAAGGAATTTCAAAATCCTCTACGCCCTACTCCTTTTGTTTGAAAATGGCATGGTCACCATGATGATGGTGTGCGCGCGAGACAGTCTAATTTATTCTAATAAGTAATAGTAATAGGTTAAACAAATGTTCGCTTGGGGCTGCTTGGTAGAACGTACATGTTGAGGGATGAAAATTAGTTTTGATAAAAATATGTTCACAGCATTAAACAAGACAATAATTTCTGGAGTGATGAATTTCTCACTAATCTCGCCCTGGGCATGCCGCATGGTCATGCTGTACATCATGATTTAAAACTATTTAGAAAAAAACCACCTATTATTTCTACTACATGTCATCAGTCATGAGTGCGTTGCAATCGGAGACAGCGTGATTGTCTGTAAGTGCGTTACGGCTATGTATGGAAGAATTTAAGGAGTTTGCGGACTCCTGCTGATGTCGGCGTGGAAAATACCTTTTACTTTTAGGCTTTAAAATGTAAAATAGGCTGATGGACCTTTTGTGCAGAATGTTGTGTTATAATCATGCACACAACTCAACAAATATAATATATTATGCGAGATTGCCACCTTCACATGTCACCTGGAGAATTGGCAGAGCTATAATTATATTTATAACTTAATATACCATTAATGGTAAAGTAAAATAGTGTGATAAACATGTCAATTTGGTATATTTATGCAATAACTTCACAAATTCAAAAGGTTTTTTTGGCTATCGGTTCTTGTGGACAATCGCATCCTTAAATCAAATCCAGTGGTATAATGGTAGAAAACTATCTTTGATTTGTGCATTAATGAAAGTTATTGCGTGAAATTACCAAGTTAACACACTTTTACCCCATTATATTACTCCAACATTAAAGCCCTGTAAGTTCTGCAGGGAGTTATGTTTGTCTGAAGTTGACAAATGGCATAGTTTATTAGGTTGGTTGTGTGCATGATGAAACAAGCCACCCTTATTGCTGACCTTGTACATGTTTACAATATTTACCATATTTGTCACGTATTTTGTAATTGTAGTAATGTGTAAATGTTTGTCTTCATCTTGCACTGGAAATCTTCTTCCAATGTATGTCTTAAGGGTAAGCGTGGGGAAAATTTATGTATCATTAATCAATTTCTTAGTTAGCTCCAAGAAACGGTCATACATCGAATGACCATCTCAAATCTTGCCATGAAAAACTCGTAGTTGGCTCAGTTTCCAAACATTGCCATAGCTAGCACCACTTAAAATAGCTCGAAATGATTCAATAAACACCTGGCTTGCTTGCAATAACACAGTGCTACTGTTCATTGCATACTTACCAAGTTATTCCCTTTTTAATTAGGCAAGTAGAATAACAGTGTGATTAGCATTTCGATTTTAACTTTTTAATGGTGTAATTTCGGGTTTTCGAAACCCAATGGCATTTGGAATTTGGTTGTCTATTTTGTTCGCATCATGAAATTTATAGTTTATATAGCAAAGTGAGGTATAAATTATAATGACTCTGAAATACTACTATAACGCCATGATTAAAAGTAATGTAAAACAAGTAAAAAATGATCAGATAATGATTTTATCTGCTCTGGCTATTTCTCTGTGTGTTAAAATCTAACATTCAATGCTTTTCTGTTGTCTAGACTAACCGAGTTCGAGCTAGACTTAGCAGGCTGTTATTGTGTCTTAATAGATCCTAATTATTTCTAAGTTAACATTTTTACGAACATCCGTAACTTTATTTATGATAACACGAAACTTTAAACTGATTATTGCAAGATTTTTGCTCAGAAAAACGAAATATAGCTGAATATAGTCTTACCTGACAACGGAAATATCACTGATTACACCATCATTAAAAGCACTAAGAATTTATGCAGTTGTAGCATAGAAAAATGGATTTGACCACATCGTAACAGCAATAAATTTTATCGTATGCCGACTCACAAAATCACAAATGGCGCCTTCAAAACAAGTGCACATAATTAAAACAAAGGGGCATGTATTTGTGTGTGCATTCACTTCAACCATATTTATTCTTTCTCCAAATGATCCTCTTCTAACCACATCAACCCTTAGCCCTATTATTATATTTACTTTTACCCATCACGTATGTCTCATCTCCATCCTTTCTTCCTTGTACCCATTGTAATGGCCTTTTTCCTGAATCAATCTCTTCTGGCGGATGTCTACCTCATTTTGCCTCCTGTATACCCAATCTACTTCTGCTCTACATGTTTTTGACCTAAAATTGTGTGAAACTTGTTCATGTATCCTACCTGTGAGCTCATACATGTTAAAAATAATTGCATTTAACCCTGTCCATGTTTAATTAACTGATTATATATTGGGTATCGCTATTTTCACAAGATTTTCAGCAAATTCAAGTCTTGACAAAGTAGGGCTGCGGGGAGTAGTGTTTAAATTTATATGGTTGTATAATACACATATATGTTGTTGCAAACTCGTACTTGAGTGACCAGTACGTACCACACCATAGCACCACACAGAACACAATGTACACAATACAAACACTTAAACCAAGTGATCGTAACTCTAAAGGTTTGCTGCACATTACTCACATACTTGTAACATTTTATCAATATTAATAGTGTAGACATGCCCACGGTAACGATATCTAAGCATTTCATTGCAAGGTTTCTCTATTTTTTACCACACTGTAGTTATTTGTTAACAAACAAAATATAATGACAAAATTTATTCACTTAACAAACCAGTAACCAAGACATTATGGAACAAACTAGGGGTGTAACGATTCACCAATGCCCACAATGCGGTAATCAATTGGCAGCATTCGTATACTCATGTGATACGGTTAATAAAACACTAAATAAGGTAAGCCAAACTATTTAATGAAGTACATACAGTATATCTATTCATGTTCTAAGTACATGAATATTATTTTATAAACCTCCACGCTCAGTGTAACGTAAATATCCTAAGCTGTTGTAGAAATCTTGGTCAATATATGTGGTGCCAAATTGCAGCAGAATTTGTTAACACAGCACATTCAAGACTGCTAATTGACTGGTGTGCATCGTTACTACGCACGTACTGAAGCAGGGTTTCTTATACATAAGAGGCACAGTGGTGCACCGCCGTTGTGAAAATGTTTCTGTATTTACTGATAAGTATATCTTGTATCTATTAGGGCTGTAACGATCCACCGAAATATACTGTGGAGTGTTACTCACCAATGTTACTCAGTGGCTGTGCAGTGTACATATACTCTCTAGACTCTCTAGTCTATTCACCATTTAGTATTCATTGGCAATTTCTAATAATTTATTATTGCAAAATAATGAATATATATAAAAAATAAGATAACATTTCAATATTTTGGGAATCGAATCGAGAGGCTAATATCGAGAACCGGATCGAATCGAGAGGCTTGTGTATCGTTACAGCCCTAGTATCTATATACCTATAAGTATACCAATACATCCTGTATTTGAATCCATCGTGCGTTTTTTCCCCAAACAGCAAACTGGCCATTACCTCTGTCTAATTTTCCCTCAGAAGAAACCCTGTTAAGCACTGTATGGCGAGCTAATGAGTAGAGCTATTAATTAGAACTCCGAACCCAAATCACTCAGAACTTCTTGATGTGTTTTAGCTATAAAAATGTATAGTAATTAATAACTTACTTTATCATAATACGTTTTTGTTCTGAAGTTATTGGAATACATATATATTATAATATTAGAATAACAGGGGTCGAAATAAGCGATGGTCCGATAGTCCAGGGCCATCAAATAATCGGGAGGACCATCAAATTTTCAAAGTCAATAGTCCGACGGACCATTGAATATTTTGGTCCCATACGGTAATTTTCTTTGAAGTTTCCACGTTTCGATTATTTCTAATCCAGTGTTGACCATAGCAAATATTTGGCATGATGTAAGCTGGTGCGTGATTGGTCAGATTGTCCCTCTTCCTGTTTTGATTGTGATGACTTCTGGTGGCAGGGTTCGAATTTTGGCTGAAAATCTAGTGGACAGTAGGACCACCAACTTCAGAAAGTCGGTGGTCCTGCACAAAAGTTCGTGGTCCGCTTATTTACTAGCAGTGAGCACTGAGTAACAAAATGGTATATACAAATAACCATAAGGCATTGGCATTAGCAGCATACATGTAACATAGAGTTGGTCAAATAATATATTTCAAGCTCTAGGAATGTTGGGGGAGCTTCTGGGAAAAGTTTTACTTTCGTTTTTCTCCTCCCCAGTCCTGGGTACCCCCATTCATAGATTAATGCTGCCGCACATCCGCAAAGTTGCAAGTGCCTAGAATCTTGAAGTATATACAGTTTACATTGCTTCTAGATATCTAACTGAATTAAAATAGTCCACTTTCTACGTAAAGAAAAGGAACGAATTCAATTAACAGCTTTGATTACGTGCGTGTCAGGTGTCACTGGTCGTGCCCTCACTCCCCACAATAACCCCTGCGACAAATGAACTTATTGTTATGCGGTCATAAAAAACACTGGGCTACGCTACATGCTGCAATCGATTGCTTAGACTGTCACGAGGTTTTGTTCGTGTGGCGAATCATGATTGGAGGATGTATTGGATACCCCGTCTACGTTCAGGAACGGAGCGTATTAGAATGCACTCCCATTTACAAGACTGTCTAAACTGCCGTTGCGATAACCGTAGTATTTCAGTGTAATATGAGGGGGAAAAATGCGGGTCAGGAGGACCGGCAGTTTCGTAGAGGTGGTGGCCGAAGCAAAAACTTGGTGGCCTCGGGCCTCCGGATCGGCACTAATTTCGAACGCTGTTTGGTGGACAACCAAGCAGCGTCTTCCTCGTTAGGTTGAAAAGGATGAAGAGGATATCATAGTGAGGATTATGTTGAAGAGGAAGATGGACAAATATTAGATAAGATAGACATGATGGAGTGTGCCAAGAAGGTTTATAATCGCTTGAATGAACTGCTTGACTGAAGGAATG